TTGAAGGGCGGGGCACCCGTTGTACTGTAAAAACTGAGACTTTAGAACTCATGTCTCAAGGTGGGTGGCAGCATTTACTTTGTAGATGTTTATGGGCTCGGGTAACCACTTAACAAAAGGTGAGCCGTGAGCTCGACAACCCACCTAAGCAATAACAAAAAAAATATTATTGTTTTTCGTCTAAGAATGAAGTTACGTCCCGTATAATATTCGCTTTCGCCGCCAGCCGTCGTTTTTTGCTTTAAGCATCCACTCATCTAAAAAGCCAACTTGCTAAACTCATTACCGCTGTACGCTGTAAAGAATTGAACGCAAAACCACTCCAGACCAGGTGCGTTGTAGCCAAACCACGAATGAGACTAATAAATAACGTCTGCTCTGTGATATTTATATTTTTAAACTTGCAAAATACATACTTATTAGGTCGTTTTTTTTCCTATCTATTCTAGTAGTAGCCTCGAGAGGTTATTCTAGATTCGCTGGATTAGTAGGTGAGCTTGCGGGGCTCAAACTTGACGACGTTGCTAACACCAACCCTAGCAAGAGCAGTGCTTCGCACAAGCCACCACCGGATCGGAAGCGCGACCCTCTGAGAAGATGCGGCGAGAAACTCAGACAGACTTTATCCTTCACGTAGCCTCAAAGAAAAAGTCGAAAGATGTCTAAGTCACAACGTCGATGTGGATGTCATATATTTCAAGTGTATAGTTATATGATGTCATTATGTAGATAGGTTCATATCGACGCTTGAAAGGCAAACGTGACTAAGCGACAATGAGTGAACTTTACAGTAGACTAATTTAAAGTGGAAATACCTGAAAAAAATTCAATTTTAACGAATCTAGCTGTAGGATTGAAATGATTTTAATAGACCTAGAATTATTATTTTTTTGCGCGTCGAATATGGTTATTGCCTATCATTTATGTACAAAGCAGTTATTGTCGCTTAGTCACGTTTGCCTTTCAAGCGTCGATATGAATGTGCTTTATATATACATACCTCTACTCACTTTGTTCTAATGGCCACTCTTAGGTCACGAAGCGGAAGGATTAACGAATGCTCTTTCATTCAATGTTGATTTACCGACGGGGCTTCATGATAGCGTCGATTAAGACTTATAGCGTAAATGTTTGAGCTAAACTAAAGCAAATCGGATATTTATTGTCTAAAGATTAGCAAATGTTCACGATTGACTTCCACGGTGAAGGAAAAACATCGTGTAATAAAAATCAAACCCGCAAAATTATAGTTTGCGTAATTATTGGTGGTAGGAACTCTTGTGAGTCCGCACGGGTAGGTACCACCACCCTGCCTATTTCAGCCGTGAAGCAGTAATGCGTTTTGGTTTGCCTTAGCAAGGTACCTTTTGAATTTTAATATTGCTTATGAATACACAGTCTTATACTTAGGCCAAGACGACTACTTCAATGACCATGAATCTTGAATGAGCTCCTACATCGAGTAACGAGAATGAATAAAAAAATAAATTGATAAATAAAGAAATAATATAACCATTGCTTTGTTCTTAATATCTATTGTGTTCTTTTGTTTTTCATCTGTTTATAAGTTGTATGTTTATTTCTGTAAGATTAGTTTTGCACTTTGTACGATTTTAACATATTTGTAGTTAAAAAATCATTGATGGTTTTTTTTAAAAAGGTTCTCTCTGTTCTACAGATAGTTCTGTAGACAGATAAAATAGTTGTTTTCAGTAGACTTTAAATAAAAATATAAAAACAATATTCATAGGTTCATTACCGCTACGATAAAACCGAAGCTCGAAGAATAAATACGCGCTGATTTCCGAGAGTTTTCAACCTTTACCTTTCCCCACTTTAGAGCATAAAACTCTACTTTATACATACATTTCGAAACTTCAATCTTATTTCTTCAATCTTATTTATTTATATAGAATAAATCTTGCACATGCGTTTTTTTTATATACATTAAATCAACAAAAAAAAAAAACATTACACACACTACCAAGTATTTGGCATAACACGGATGCATGTTGTCAAACTTTTCTTATTGCGTATAGTCTGCGGTCAACTTGAGAATAGATTAATATTGTTTGTCTTTATTATGTCTAAAGTGTAATCTTAGTAAAATATGTGATTACAGAAGTATAATAAATAGTCTTTGACAACAGAACCCTAATAATGATCAAACTTATAATTTCAATTATTTTTATAGTCGAATTTTGACTACCAGGCGACCACTAGTCGACATAATTACTTCAGTGCGCCACGTAGGCCACCGGTGACCTACGCCGCAGACATCTTGTTAAGATAGACTCCGAAGCCATTATTTGAATTGCATTCTTCTCAAGATGGCGACTCCGCGAAAACGCTGGTAAGTTTCGTTAAATTTGACAATTATCGAAATTCAACTAGCGCGTTATTAATAATTCAAAACTCCCTATGAACAATTATAATAGTGAATAAAATCCGGAAATCGCAATCCAATGAATTATTTCATTCGATAACTTCAGCAATACGATTATCAGTATACGATACGATATATGAGTCGTCTATTATCAAAGGTGGCAATCTGTGCATTTGGACAAAAAAATGTTATTGATATGTCAATACAGATTGATTTGAATATAATCGTCTCCTTCAAAGAATACGATTCAAAACCTGCATTAAATAAAGGTTAATAGTTAACCTGTTATTTATCTAAGATGTCGTTCCGAAGAGTTTTGTGACTGCCAATGGAATACAAAGTCAATAATTCGTTTTTCTAATTTACCAATAATTATCCAAAAGTCAGATTGCAGGCTTTGATAATAGTCGACTCATATATGGTAATACGATATCGTAAACGATTTTGTTTGATATCGCTTACAAAGGCATAAACTCAATAGAAGTATTTATCGGCAATATCCGACAAAGAAGCTTAACGCGGTACTTTCTAGCAGTGCTGTGGTGTTCCGTAAAAAGATTTATACGTTCCCTTTTTTTCTTATACCTTTTGTACAATTTAATCTGAAGACCAAACAGATTTAGCGGCTTAAATTATTTTCTTTCATACGCCAATGGAGAAAAATATGACGGCAAACAGATTTTATTCTTGTGTCAAAAAGTGGGCGGTGGAAATTCACGTCTATGAGTTCCGTTAGTTCAATAAGCAGTGAGCTATTTCTATTCACATCAATAGAGAAGAATGTCATAGGTCTTTAGAAACACTAGAGGTCCCGCAGTAGACAAAATATTCGACTATAATTAATTGGAATTGTAAGTTTGTACACTATTATGATTGTATTTTATACTTCTATAATCACAAATTTCGCCAAGGCTACACTATAAAAAATATTAATAAAGACAAACAATATTTAATCTATTCTCAATTTGACCACAGACGTCAAGAACAAAAGTGTGACAATAAATATTAAGCATGCGTGTGTTTGCGGAGCTGGTCCCCCGATTGATGGGGACGGCCGGTTCTTTGAGCCGGCTGCTCCCGAATATTGGGGGACCGGATCAGGTTGTGCGCCGCCTCTACGCGGGGGTGGTGCGATCGATGGCCCTGTACGGTGCACCTGTATGGGCTGAGCCGCGCAACCGGGCCACTATGGCTCGGTTCCTGCGCCGGCCGCAGCGCACCGTTGCCATCAGGGTCATTCGCGGATATCGCACCGTCTCCTTCGAGGCGGTGTGTGTTTTGGCGGGGACGCCGCCATGGGAGCTAGAGGCGGAGTCGCTCGCTGCCGACTATCGGTGGCGCAGCGAGCTTCGTGCTCGGGGCGTGGCGCGTCTCCCCGAAAGTGAGCTGCGGGCGCGGAAGGCCCATTCTCGGCGGTCCGTGCTCGAGTCGTGGTCGAGGCGATTGGCCAACCCCACGTGGGGGCTACGGACCGTCGAGGCGGTTTACCCGGTCTTTGATGACTGGGTGAATCGTGGCGAAGGACGTCTCACCTTTCGTCTGGTGCAGGTGCTGACCGGGCACGGATGCTTCGGGAAGTACCTGCGCCGGATAGGGGCTGAGCCGACGACGAGGTGTCACCATTGTGGACACGACCTGGACACGGCGGAGCATACGCTCGCTGTCTGCCCCGCTTGGGAGGTGCAGCGCCGTGTCCTGGTCGCAAAGATAGGACCTGACTTGTCGCTGCCTGGCGTCGTGGCGTCGATGCTTGGCAGCGATGAGTCATGGAAGGCTATGCTCGACTTCTGCGAGTGCACCATCTCGCAGAAGGAGGCGGCGGGGCGAGTGAGGGAAAGCTCTCCTCACTACGCAGAAACCCGCCGCCGCCGAGCAGGGGGTCGGGACCGGGGTCGTATCCGTGACCTGGCCCCCTAAGAGCTAGGGGTCCCACCCGTTTTGTGCGGGGAGAGACCCAGACGAGGGGTGGCGTGCTCTGCACGCTCACCCGCAATAGGAAGCCGGGTGATGGTAGACCGCGTTCCCCCGACCGCTCTGGGGGAAGGTGTAACGCGGCGCCATCAAAGCGGGCTCTCGGCCCGCTGAACGAGGGAACCGGTGGTCGTTTCGCTGGCGGCCACCGGTCCGGCGTCCGTGGGACGGTGGGATGGATGTAATGTGCTCTGCGTCAACCCTGTCCCGCCGTTTCAATAGCCCCGACTGGGCTCCGGCCCGGTCCGAGGTAGGGCGCCGGTTGTGAGCGGCAGGAGTTTTTAGTGAGGTTCAACTCCCACATACCCCACCTGCCGCGCGGGTGGGGATCCGGCGATTCTCTCCTGTGTAAAAAAAAAAAAAAAAAGCATGCGTGTGTGCGTCAAATACATGGTATATAGTGTATGTAATGTTTTCTTTATTGATTTAATGTATCTTTTATGCATTATTTAAAAAAAATATTAGCATTGTGCACTTCTTCTCTATATTCTCTATAAGTGTGGAAAATTTCATACTCCTCCGTCCGCGCAATTTTCGTAAAAAGGGGTACAAAGTTTTAGTTTCACGTATTAATATATAGATTACTACAATATCTAAATACGAAATTAAAATTTAAATTATTTATTGTAATATCTGAATTTAATTACCATATCGTGTATCTAAAACTGTTGACAACCATCAGAAAATAAAGAAAAACTGAAAGAAAAAATTAAGTTAATATGATAAAGTTTTACATGTAGCTTGTCAGGTTCTGGCTTCTTGTCATGTTTGTTTCTGGTACTTGTGGTACAGGAGAACATCTTAATTACCCCCAATGAAAGTTGAATGCTTTTTTATTGATAGATGTTGGAAGCAGACGAGTATATTATCTAGCTGATAGTGACTAGACAATGTTCTCTATTTCAATTACGAGTCTCTTTTGATACTTCTTAGAACGTAACGAAAAATAAATAATAGTTTAAAAAAACAAAAAAAATACGCTTTTATAGAAAATCCAACTAAAAAATAGAAAATAAATTTGAATTAAGAAAAGTGTAAGAAAAAATTATTTTATTGTAAAAAGCGTGGAGTGCTTTTCAGGATATTATCAAAATAACCCTTCTACTCATATCTGTTCATAAAATATTTATAACTACTGATACCATGCACCCCACGCTTTTTTTTACAATAAAATCATTTTTCCTACATTATTTTTAATTTAAATTTATTAAAATTTATTTTCCATTTTTTAGTTGGATTTTCTATAAAAGCGTTTTTTTTTTAACTATTATTTATTTGTTTATGGTCGTAAATCATCATGTAAAAAATACACAATCAATCTTAATCATTATACAATTAATTCACACACACAATAACATAATAATAACATCTGTCTCATGGGATTTCGTAACGGGAATAGAGTATAAAGAAAATAATAAATGCCAAAACCCCTCAAATCTCGTTTGAAGAAGAACATGTCGTAGCGCTCGGGAAACACCGTGGAAGGTAGTTCAAGCAAAGCCGGTAGGTGCGTTGCAAGAGTATTCTCTTTTGCATCAACTCAGCGCTTTCAGATAAAATGGATGAACTTTGCTTTAGACACAGACGGTGTTAAAGCAAAAAGATGATAAAGAATCTCTAACAATTCCTCAGAGCGTTCACTTTTTAATCATCTATCTCAAAGGTGGCGGCATTATTGGACCATGCTTACGGATTCCGGCCCCAGCGTCTGGTCCTATTAGGTTATGTAAAAATATTAAAAGTAAACGCATAACCAGGCGGGTTCCAATTTTTCTAATGAAATACGTACTCAACAAATATTCACGATTAACTTCCACGGTGAAGGAATAACATCGTGTAATAAAAATCGAACCCGCAAAATTATAATTTGCGTTATTACTGGTGGTAGGATCTCTTGTGAATCCGCGCGGGTATGTACTACCACCCTGCCTATTTCTACCGTCAAGCAGTAATGCATTTCGGTTTGAAGGGCGGGGCAGCCGTTGTAACTATACTGAGACCTTAGAACTGATATCTCAAGGTGGGTAGCGCATTTACGTCGTACATGTCTATGGGCTCCAGTAACCACTTAACACCAGGAATAAAAAAAAAATGTCTCCGTGATTTTTTTAAGTTTGACCAATGAATTCGTCAGTACAGCCAAGCTCGAGATGACTCTCCACCTTCTGTCCTTTAATCTTGTTACTCACAGCAACTCCATACCACGGTGAAGAGTGTGCACACGGATTGTCTCTTCGAAATAGTGCCAGTCGTTATCACGTTCACACCGACACTGAACATTGCCATCACAAAATAAACGGACAGATACAGAAAGGCATACCACACGTAGAAGTTCACCAAATTGTAGGTGTCCTGAAAAGAGAAACAGCTCGTTACCACGAAGATTCGCCGAAATATTAGGTTTTTATTAATACAGACGCGGGTTGCGGGCTTTTTAGCCGGAACGCGAGTTGTGAAACTCTGTGAATTATTTTAGTAATTTATTAGGTGAATTATAAATAAATGAACGCGAAAGGTCAGGAGACTGAAACAAAATCAGTCGACGTAGCTTCTGGGGCTCTTCTAAAAACTCGACAGAACTTTTTCAAACTGAGAACTATCAATACGTCTTATCTGATTGAATTCGATTTCATTTTATAATCACATTTCATTATTTATTTTTTTGTATAAACGGTATGACTTCGACTATAAAAGAGATGGCTGTATGGCTGCGTTTCTTTTGCTTTTCCAATTGATCTGATCAAACGAAAACAACGAAATGTCGCTAATAGCCAAAGGGGTCACTAGAATTCTTAGACGTTATAACATAAACGCAACTTTTGAATATTATAAAATACTAACTTAATGTTGCAAATATAGTTAGCGTTAGCGCAGTTGAGCATAAATATTACGATTTCGTTTGGTACATATAGTATATTTACGAGTCACCTACGGTAAATGGTTTATATAGCCATTCGCATCGCTTTTTATGCTCTTTGAATTGGCTATACGACTTGTGTGCGTTCTGTCTGCAAGGTTAGGTCACAAAACACCCACAAGTCTGTAAGGCTTGGTTCCATCGTCTTGCCTATACCTATCATCGTTCATCAGTCGCTAGTTATTCGTTCTGGTTTGAAAACCAGCCTTTATACATTGGAATTGAGTTCTCTAGCGAAAGTGTCACGGTGAGCAAGGAGAATTAGCGGTGTGAAACCCAAGAGCACCGCGTGAACTTCTTTCAATATTAATTTGGTGGATATTCATGTTTTTATTATTGCCTTTGTAGGCAGACGAGCATACGGCCCACCTGATGGTAAGTGGTCACCGTTGCTCGTGGACGTCAGCAATGCCAGGGGCAGAACCAAGCCGCTGCCTACTATTTAGTACTCTCCGCAAGCCTCGTTTGAAGAAGGACATGTCATAGCGCTCGGAAAACACCATGGAGGGGAGTTCATTCCAAAGCCGGATGGTACGTGGCAAAAAAGATCTCTGGAAACGCACTGTCGATGAACGCGGCGATTTCAGATACCTACATAAAATCACACAAGAATCATAAATATAACGTTAAAATGTATAAAAACGTACCACGAGCGTGCCCAAAACAAGCATTCCAGTGGCGATCATCAAGCAGACTGTCCCAAAAATGTAGATCATCTTGAAGTATCTCAAGACCTGCTCGTGATTCAAGAACATTTTCGCAGTGAACCTATCAATCGTGACCAGTTCGAATGCTGCCCAAAACTTAAACGGAAAATCGCATTAATTTTGGGGCCGTTAACGAGGAAGCATTGATTAATGTTGTGCACCTAACGGGGGTAATAGATATCACACGTGAATGACGTCACCAACTTTGACACATCAAGCGATCGGTTTTTTTTTTAAAGCTTAGATTGATGGACGAGGTCCAGCCCACCTGGTGTTAAGTGGTTACTGGAGCCCGTAGACATCTACAACGTAAATGCGCCACCCACCTTGAGATATAAGTTCTAAGGTCTCAGTATAGTTACAACGGCTACCCCACCCTTCGTACCGAAACGCATTACTGCTTCACGGCGGAAATAGGCGGGGTGGTGGTACCTACCCGTGCGGACTCCCAAGAGGTCCTACCACCAGTGAAAAATTCGTATTCAGAAATTGATGTTCACGCGGTCACGTCCACGATTCGAATGTCTCAGTCTGAGCCTTCGGTTATTTGTGTGCTTAGTGCGAATTTTTTAACGTTCTCGACAGCGTAAAAGTTAACTCAAATTTGTATGCAGTTGGAACAGCACCCCTAGCGGCAAACGTAGGCAAACGTCACTGTTTTTGTTAGGAGGGAGATATAAGAGTTGCCAGACTCAAATATATGATTACCTTTTTTTTTAAACACTATCGCACCTAACATAGTAAGGCTTTAGATGATCAAGATGAAGTCGTCGTGGCCTAAAGGAGAAGACGTCCGGTACGTTCGTGTCGAGTGATGCACCGGTGTTCGAATCCCGCAGGCGGGTACCAATTTTTCGAATTAAATACGTACTTAACATCTGTTCACGATTGGCTTCCACGGTGAAGGAATAACATCGTGTACTAAAAATCAAACTCTCAAAATTATAAATTGCGTAATTACTGGTGGTAGGACTTCTTGAGTTCGCACGGTTAGGTACCACCGTCCTGCCTATTTCTGCCGTGAAGCAGTAATGCGTTTCGGTTTGAAACGTAGGGCAGCCGTTGTAATTATACGGAGACCTTAGAACTTATATCTCAAGGTGGGTGGCGCATTTACGTTGTAGATGTCTATGGGTAACCACTTAACACCAGGTGGTCTGTGAGCTCATCCACACATCTAAGCGATAAAAAAAATTTAGAAAGAATACATACGAAAGAAAGAAAAGAGATCAGTAATACGGCTGCCTTGAGAGGGATACAGCCACAGCATTTTCGCGAATAGCCCAAACAGTCTAGCGGTGTGCGCTTTCTCGGTTTTATAGGAATGTCACCGTAGCAGACAGGCGGAGAACACGAACACAGTCCTATACTGAAACAAAAGAGCACACGTCATTTCGGATCCTCCCGATCCACTAACAGTGCTTTTAGGTACCTCAAGCACCGGTCATCGTTCTCGTCGAACCCGTTGCTTGCGACGAAGGGCTCGACGAGTAAATTAACCCTCAGTCACAGTCCACTGAGTTTCTCGCCGGATCTTCTCAGTGGGTCGCGATTCCGATCCTGTGGTAGATTCTGCGAAGCACGGCTCTTGCTAGGGTTCGTGTTAGCAAGATCGTCAGGTTTGAGCCCCGTGAGCTCGCCTACTAGTTAAGGTTACGCTGAAATAGCCTCTCAAGGCTACAAAAGCTATAAAGCTATCTTACGTAGAACAAAAAAGAAATCGGTTGTCTGTAAAGTTAGTTTACTGACGATAGTTGAACGTGACAACGTCATAAGAAAATACGCCTCAGAGCGAGGTAACGCCGCATGAGTCATGTTTTTTCGTGCGTGCAGCCGGCTCCATCGAATTATAAGAAGTTGTCACGTCAAAAGTGCAGAGTTTAATTTACAATTTTTTTTTAATTGCGTACATAAATCTCTACGACGTAAATGCGCCACCCACCTTGAGAAGTTCTAAGGTCTCAAGTAGGTATAGTTACATACTAAAATAATAATAGCTGGGAACAAATTACGCACAGTCATTCGCCCCCAATTTAAGATTCCCTGTGTTATTGGTACAAGAGACTGGCATACGTACTTATCCACGTTTAAATATATACATATATAGATAATAAGCGTCCAGGCAAAGAGCAAAAAGACCTGTTCATCGCACAAGTGTTTGCCCGATGCGGGAATCGAAATTACGACCCCCGGTGCAAAAATCAGGGGCGCTTAATAATGCATCACCGAGTCGGTCATTGATTGGATTATCCTAATATAATGATTAATACAAATATCATAAAGTGATATGGCTTTTAAGTTATTCCAATGTCTGCTACATATATATTTTTTTTATTGCTTAGATGAGCGGACGAGCTCACAATCCACCTGGTGGTACAACGTAAATGCGCTACCCACCTTGAGATATAAGTTCTAAGGTCTCAAGTATAGTTACAACGGCTGCCCACCCTTCAAACCGAAACGCATTACTGCTTCACGGCAGAAATAGGCAGGGTTGTGGTACCTACCCATGCGGACTCACAAGAGATCTTACCACCAGTAATTACGCAAATTATAATTTAGCGGGTTTGATTTTTATTACACGATGTTATTCCTTCACCGTGGAAGTCAATCGTGAACATTTGCTGACCACGTATTTCATTAGAAAAATTGGTACCCGCCTGAGATTCGAACACCGGTGCATCGCACAACACGAATGCACCGGACGTTTTATCCTTTAGGCCACGACGACTTCCTATTCTATTGCTATTCCTTGCTATTCCTATTTCGCACGTAAAACAGATCATGAAGCTCAAAATAGCAATGCGTTTTAGTCTTTATGTTTTAAGGTTAGCCGTGGCATGTAATTATAAAGTGACTAACGCTTTAGCTAATTTAGTGTGTTTCAAACACATTGTACATCATTTTTGTTGAAGGTTTTAGTTTTAGTAAATGTTGCAGTTCTTCTGGCGACTATTATTAGGCTTCGAAGCTACATGCCAGATTTGACATTGACAGGAAGGGGCACAATACAAAAGAAAGAAAAAAAAAATGCTCTATGGATTGAACGATATATTATAGATTATACTTCATGTTACAAAATTCGATGCTTCCAATGAACACTACTGTGTGAACGCAACATACCTGCTATATTTTTTATATTTTACAGAATTTCTGTAAATTAAACGGTTGTCTGGAAGAGATCGCTTTTAGCGATAAGACCGCCTATTGTACATATGTGCTTTTTGACTGTTTGTTTTTTTAAAATGTAAATTGTGTTGGTGTGCAATAAAGTGTATTCTCTCCTCTCTCTCTCTCTACTCTAACTACAAATTCGTAGGTTTACAGGAGGAGAGTTTAAACGAAAAAAGTTGATAAAATCTTTATTATAGCAGATATATTTATGGTTTTTTCTTGTGTAACTAGCTGATTTACTTTTGCTTCGAACCCCATTAATAATGAATTTGTAATACTTTTAAAATAGTGAAGCGAATTGCGTGAAAAACGAAAATTCCAAAATTTTTAGTTAGAGTAGTGTTCATTGGAGGCATCGAAATATTGAGGGGGCGAAAGTATATATAAGCGACATTTTTGCAACTTTACAGGAGAGCCATTTAAAGTTTAAAATTTGGAAAAAAATAAAATATCGTAACAAAAAGCTTCTTCAGGTATTTGAGTGGGGTAAAATTGATTGAAGTTCAATTAAAAACATCGAATTGTTGATACTACCATGCCAAATAATACGGACCTTTAATTACAAATACAAATGTCGTGTACTAAGCTAAATGTCGCTCAAACTAAATAGGCTTTCTAAAAAAAATTTTTGGGATCTGTGAGGAGACAAACTTCATAAAAAAACTATGAGTTTTATTTTGTTCTTAACAAATAATTCTTACTTATGTACGCTTTCTAAATAAAGCGAAACAGATAATTGTTAATATTACATACCTATAACTATACAGTAGTAATAAATAAATATATTAATTTATAATTATTATTAGTAAACAATGAAATAATATGTAATTGAAAACGAATCAAAATTGTGCCCGAAAACGGTAACAATAGACAATTAAACTTAACCAAACTAACCAGTCGTGCATTCCAGTTCGCAGAGTGGTCTGAAGACGCCTGTGTGTTATTTGTTTGTTGGTCTTATTGCGTTCGTATGTAAATTTTATTACTCTAATCGTGTTTGAACGTGGGTGAAATTCACTTTGCAGCAGGTGGGTCGTGAGTTCACCCACTCACCCAGAGCAATAAAAAGATCTCCCATCATTTACGGACTACATTTATTCCTGCAACGTCTCAAGCTTCTCCTTGATTTAAATCATAAAGTAGTATTAAGGCCATTGGAGCTTTAAATCGCATTAAGAGAACTAAAAGTCAATTCTATCCTTTCTGAGTTTAATACGCTTTTATTAGCTTCTTTGAACATGATTTTGACCCCCTTCAAAACGTCGGATTAACTCGAAATTTGGTATACTTATTAAGGACAGATGACAATTCAATATTAAAAAAAAATATTGAAAAAATTAAAATTCAATGAAAAAATGAAAAATTAATAATAGTTTAAAAAAACAAAAAAAAATACGCTTTTATAGAAAATACAACTAAAAAATAAAAAATAAATTTTAATACATTTGAATTAAAAAACGTGGGGTGCTTTTTTTTTTTTTTTATTGCTTAGCTGTGTGGACGAGCTCACAGCCCACCTGATGTAAAGTGGTTACTGGAGCCCATAGACATCTACAACGTAAATGCGCCACACACCTTGAGATATAGTTCTAAGGTCTCAGTATAGTCACAACGGCTGCCCCACCCTTCAAACCGAAACGCATTACTGCTTCACGGCAGAAATAGGCGGGGCGGTGGTACCTACCCGTGCGGACTCACAAGAGGTCCTACCACCNCATTACTGCTTCACGGCAGAAATAGGCGGGGCGGTGGTACCTACCCGTGCGGACTCACAAGAGGTCCTACCACCAGTAATTACGCAAATTATAATTTTGCGGGTTTCATTTTTATTACACGATGTTATTCCTTCACCGTGGAAGTCAATCGTGAACATTTGTTGAATACGTATTTCATTAGAAAAATTGGTACCCGCCTGCGGGATTCGAACACCGGTGCATCGCTTCAACACGAATGCACCGGACGTCTTATCCGTTAGGCCACGACGACTTCAAAATATTTTCAGGATATTATCAAAATAACCCTTCTACTCATATCCGTTCATAAAATATTTATAATTACTGATACCATGCACGCCACGATTTTTTTACAATAAAATCATTTTTTCTTACACTATTTTTAATTCAAATGTATTAAAATTTATTTTCTATTTTTTAGTTGGATTTTCTATAAAAGCATATTTTTTAGTTTTTTTATACTATTATTTTTAATAGACATAATATTGTTAACGAATCAACGTGGCGTCATACATTGATGGCTATGATTGGCCAGCGGTGACGTGATATTGCACGAACCAATGGGAAATCAGGAAACGCGACAGTGGCACCAATTGTCAAATAATAATAAAATATTATACGAAAAAAAAAGATGGACTCGCATGTCAATTCTATATTTGTAAAAGAATTTAATATAATTTGAACTAAAGGTTGTAAATATCAGGTCACAAATTACAAAAAAATAATAATTAAATAAAATATAATTAGTATTTGATTCTTGAAATGAACTTATCCATTTTCCTGGCCACCTCAAGATACCTATAAGAAATCGATACAACACAAATTCACGTGTTTTCATTTTTAACATTATTTTTTTTATAACGAACTCAGTACTCGTAAACTTTGTATTGATTTACAAATTTTACAAAAAAAAATACATGTGTGCAATTCACACGTGGTAGAAGTGAAACCTTCCAAAATTAAAATACAATTATCCTAAACGTCTTAAGTATATATATGTAAAATTTTGTCATTAGTAAATAATTGTAAGGTAGCGCCCTCTGTGAATTGATATTTTAATTTCACGTATAATCCTAAATTAAAATTCACTACAACAGCTTTCATACACACGTTAGTATTAAAAAATCTCACAGATGGCGCTGTATTAAATAGTATGTATATTTCTGTCTCATTCTTTTGTATTTGTGTCTCTTACCTGTCGTTTTTTCCGTTGCATCCGGTTTGAAATCACAACGATTCTAAAGACGTTTTCACTTCAAAAAGCTTACCTACCGCCTTAATTACAAATTAGGAATTTCAGAGATCGACTTCGTGTTCTCAAATTTTGAGATATACGGCGTGCATTAAAGATGTCACCGCCACATTCCGCACACAGTGAAAGCATAAGAACAAAGTTTCTAAGTGAAATAATTAATTAAGTTAAACTAGTAAGATGAAGTTTCGGAGTTAGAATCCGAACTTAGTTCAACTTAAGGATAAGAGATACCTACTAGATAACCTACACAGGGATTTGTTTGAATTCACCCATGTTATGTTGTTTATATAATACCTAGTTGATTTTTTATAATTAGAAATGCAATTATTTAACTATTTCTTATTGATTTCGCGAACGCGTTTATAATGTGGATAGCCGAGAAAAATTAAAAAAGATTTGTAGTATAAAAATCGAATTGTATCATTTGATCATATTATTATTTGTAAGAAGATTGATGATCAAATTCGTAAATATGACAATAATTTATAAATAATATCTGAAAGAAAAAAAAAACACGTTTTGTCTGCCTTAATTAATAAAAAGTAAGTCTGTTATGGTTTTAGTATAAAAAAATATATTTTATTTTAATCTTATTTACAGGTACACATTTAATACAGGTAATATATACATTGATCTCACACTAAATGCTAACACAATTACAGGTATCGACTGCATGCATTGGTATAAAAAGCGGTTCATTGTTTAATACTAGAGAGAAAAAAAACTATATATAACATTGCATGACAATTTAGCATTATTACACAATTACTACCAAATACGCTATTATATAACTGAAAAAGCCAATGAAGTAGGAAACCTATGGAAATGAAACGTCAACCAAAATTTCGTGCCACTGTGACGTCATCTGGCCACAAAACATGGCGGCTTTAGTGCTGTACAAAAGATTTCAATGTTATCAGGTTTTATCGATAAACGTTCTTGGCTCATTTTATTTTAAATATTGTTGAGTATTATTTATTTGTAGAATTTATACTTTAATGGGAAGTAAGTAGGTATATTGTTATGTGCAAATATGATATGATTTAGATGGGTGAAATCTAAGACAAGTTCGTCCTTCGAATTTGCCAAGTAAACGATATGATGATTTTTAAAAGTTGCTACACTGATTTTATAAAGTTGTCGTTTGTCGCAAAACATAAAGATATGGCGTAGTTCAAAGCCATCAGCCCATTTCTAGCATGCTAAATGTTATCGTATTTTGAGTACGTGTTTTTCTTAGACTATTACAATCTATTTTAATTGTTTTGCTGACTCTAAAGTCCGTAACATACTACCGCAGCGCACCCCAAGGAAGGTGCGCCGCACCATTTGAATCACTTTCGCTTGAGAGTGATTCAAATTTTAAACTTATCAAGGGACCGCGTGAAAAAAAAAACACCTACAGAACATTTATTCATTAATTACAAACGTCATTCCTTGTGACTTCCTCTCTAAAATCACTTAATTATTAAATATTTAACAAATTTACAATAGTGTTTTACTCACTGCGGAATAAAACTATTTTATTTAAATAGTTCCGAAGAGATTTTGTCGGTAGCCTTTTTCCCGAAATATCTAAACAGAATGTCTAAATATGTTTTGATGACATATTTTAAAGTGGTATTTATGATTAGTGTCATGATCAATAGATTCCGACCGAAAAATGGATTTTTCGGATGAGGGCTCCATAATGAATTTAAATACATATAGATAATAGTTTTAGGGCATCGAC